AAATAAGATATAAATTTATCACAAAAGTTTAATAAAAAATATTATTATTTCAATACTAATCAATTTTGATTAAAATGAATCAAATTTGATTAAAATTAATCAAGCCCAATTAAAATTAATCAGGCCCAAACTAATCTCAAGTTTTATTGAGTTTCACATGTTTTATAGTGCAAAAATTTATTTTCTTAAATATTTTTTGTCGATGTGGGATATATTTATAATACAAAACCTTATTCTCTTATGTGTTTTTTTATTGATGTGAGATGCATTAATTAGAAAAAATTGACAGTTTTTAGTGACAAAATATATTTTTTAGTGCTAAATTATTTGGTCATCATTGAATGTGTAAGGTATAGGTGACCAGTATTAGAATTTTATCATAATTGTAATGCATTATAGTGATGATTTTTATCAACAAAAACTTATTTTATCTCTATGAATATTTTTCGGTAACGAAATATATTTTTTATAATGGATTTTTTTGTTCATCATTAAATATGTATGCATCTGTGACTAATTTTTTAGACATGTCACAATTGTGATAAGTTATAATGATGATTTCAAAATTCATCACAAATTTCTGTCATTAAAAATCATTTTTGTTGTAGTGATATAAAAATTAACTAAATTGATTATATTTATATTATATTTTTAATGATTGAACCAGAAATGTGTTAGAAAATGTGTTGAACAAAATGTGTACCAATCATTTTTCATGTTAATATATAACTTAGTAAATGTCATCCATTGAACGCAAGCAATGAACATATATAGTACCAATATCTAATGAAAAAAGAAAGAAAAGAAAAGAAAATAACAAGATATTAATAAATTAATATATATATATATTGTGTAAATAAGATATTAAATTTTTTTCATTCAATTAATTTTCATTTTTTCTCATCCTTCATATTATGTTTATTTTTCTCATCTTTCTCATCATTAAAAATAATCTTCAATAGTTAAAAAAACTTTAGAAATGTTTAAAATGGTATAAAATAAATAAAAATGAAAATAATAAAAATAAAACATAGCGGACTAAACTAATAGTGCCACAAAACTTTAGGCTCAGTTCCCGTTTGCTCCGCCACTGTCTATCTGTAGCGTTAGATTTCTTTGGGGTTAAGAGCAGAAAAAAATTTTACAATTTTTATTTTGTTTGGTTGCTATACTCTGCCTAAAGGAAGTGCAGAATGAGTGTTTTATGCAGAAACAGCTGCATCCTTCTCAAAATTAGGTGGAACTCCAAGAATGGGGTTTCTCTCATAGAAATTAACTGGCTTCAGATCAAAACTCGCGGACACAGTCGGCATGATGGGAAAATCCTCTTGACATGGTATGTGGTGGAAGCCTAGTGTATACCACACTACAATGTCTTTGTTCTCGATGGGTCGTTCTCTGCATGCAAAAATTCAATAGACTATGTCATGCATCATCATCATCACCAATTAATTTTATGATACAAATGTGAATGTAAGTATTTTTTTTTTTATGTTTACCTTTCAGACCACCCAACAAGAGTGTCTTCACCATGGCTCTGGTACGTAAACAAGCCTCCAGCCCATTGCTCGCTCCGGTTGTACGTATGGAGTAACCCATATCGGGTTGTTGGTGAACGCTGCTCCCTTCTGCGGTGGATCATCATGGTCAAGATGAATTTTATTATATGAGTACAAGGGGTACTCTAACCCATAAACATCAATATATAAAGTTACGTGTAAAAAATGGGATCAAAAGAAATTCACCCAGCAGTCCCAAAAATATAGAGACCTAAAATCCAACTGTACCCATCAAAATCTTTATTTCCTATTTGTCAAGCATGATTAAAAATTCATTCCATGAAAGAAAAATATTCTAAATTTAACATATTTCTAACCTAGTGAAATGAGCATGCTTGTACTATTTCAAACGACTTATCCTCATTTAGCTTCCTATGTTAAAAAGTAGTTTCATTTCTACTTAATCATAATAACCACAGTACAGTAAACCATAACATGATCTATCCCATTTTTAGAATTTTTGAACCCTTATACCATTTATACTGGTTGAAAACATCAAGACAAGTATTCCCGAGAGCATAATATAATCCCCACCAATTAAGACATTTTGTTCATAATTTGGAGGAGATGTTGCAAGACAAAAAAAGATGATCTGTATCTTCAGGAAATTGATCACATAAAAAGCACTTTATATTTTGGTTGACATCATGGTCAAGCAAGCTAGCAGCAGTGGCAGCCGGAACCACTTTGTACGCTACAGGATTTCCGATGCGTGTCTTTTTGGTGGGGTTGGTCACATGGAACTAGCCGAATCTGTGCATCTTTCTCAGTCTTGGCCACATTTTACAGCTTTGAGATAGCTTTTTCTAGGTGACTCCCAGAAGAAATGTCCTGCCTTTTGATATCCAATTTGACAAAGGAATTATCAGAGCCATCTATGTCCCTGTCAAGGTAGAAGCCAACGTAATGGTCGTGGATGACCCCTATCTCATTTTCAGACAGACGTGTACCGTGGAGAATTTCCTGCTCAGGCGCGTCTCATGTTCTCATATATACCTAGTTCCCCTCACTATTAAAATGCCATAAGTCCAACCTGATTTTGAAATTGGGAACGGATAGATGCAATGTAGTCATACATTAAAAGAGTTTGTTTAATCTATACCAAAAAATACAGGTCAAATTTTATTAATTATAGAATTTATAATGAATTTAATGTAAAATTTTATATCATATATATATATTTATAGATTTTGAGTACAAATATTATATTATATTTTAATTAAATTTAATATAAAAATTTATACAAAATTAATTGAAAATATTATATTTAATAAAGTTTAATTACCACTACGTACCTTAACTCTGATTAGTCCATCTGTCTGAAACTCCC